TAGGGTATTAGTAGTTGTTTTGGGGGAGTCAAGATTTATATGTGGATTTTTGACTGTGTGTGGGGGTGCTGGCACCCCTAACCCCAGCATTGTTCAAGGTCAATTGTATTTCCATTTAGTTCAAAATATTTCTGAACTTCTTTGATCCAAGCGTTGTTTAGAAGTGTGTTATTTAATCTCTGAATATTTTGGAATTCTCCAACTACCTTTCTGTTGTTGATATCTAGTTTAATTCCATTGTGATCTGAAAGCATAATTTGTATGGTTTCTCTTCTTTTAAACTTGTTTTTTTATGGCACAGAAGGTGGTCTATTTTGGTAAATGTTCCATGTGAGCTTGAGAAGAGTGTGTATTCTGTTGCTACTGGATTAAGGATTCTATAGATGTCAGTTAGATCCAGTTGATTGATGGTGGTGTTGAGTTCAATCAAATTTTCTGCCTGTTGGATCTGTCAGTTACCGATATATGGGTACAGAAGTCTCTAAATATCATAGTGGATTCATCTATTTCTCCTTGCAAGTCTCAGTTTTCACCTCACATATTTTGCCACTCTGTAACTAGGTGCATATACATTAAAAATTGTTTTCTTGGAGAATTGACCACTTACCATCATGTAATGTCCCTCTTTATCCCTAACTTTCCTTGCCCTGAAATTTACTTTGAATTTAATATAGTTACTCCAGCTTTTGTTTGACTAGTGTTAACAGCAGTCTATCTTTCTTCATCCTTTTACTTTTAATCTATCTTTGTTTTTATGTTTAAAGTGGATTTTGTTTTTGGTAGATAACAAATAGTTGGGTCTTATTTTTTTTTATCCAGTCTGACAGTCTGTTTTTTAATTGGTATATTTAAACCATTGACATTTAAAATGATTATTGATGTAACTGGATTAATATCTACTATATTTGTTATTGTTTTCTAGTCATTGCTCTTGTTCTTTCTTTTCTTGTTTTTTTTTTTTGTCTTCCACTCTTTTTCTGGTTTTAACTGTGCATTTCATAATTCTTTTTTCTCCTAAGCAATTTTTTTTTTCTTTTCTAAATGGTTGTCCTTGAGTTTACACTATACATTCACAACTAATCCAAGTTCTCTTTCAAATAACATTACGTCACTTCATAGGCAGTGCAAGTACCTTAAAAGAGTATTCCCAGTTCCTCCCTCCCATCCATTATTACACTGCTGTTATTCACTTACCCATAAACATAAAATTACTATATGCAAGTTGCTATTACTATTTTGACCCTCTGTTATCTGTTAGAGCAATTAAATTTTTAAAAATGAAAAATTTGATTTTATCTCCGTTTGTTCCTTCTCTAATAATGCTTTTCCTTTCTTTATGTAAATTAGTTTCTGACCTATATCATTTTCCTTCTTTCTGAAGAATTTCTTTAACATTTCTTGCAAATTAGGTCTACTGGTGACAAATTCCCTCCAGTTTTGTTTGTCTGAGAAAGTCTTTATAGGAACACCTTGTTTTATTGAGCTTCACCTTACTGCACTTTGCAGATACTGTGTATTTTTAAATTGAAGGTTTGTGGCAACCGTGCATTGAGCAAGTTTACTGGCAATATTTTTCCAACAGTATTTGCTCACTTCATGTCTCTGTGTCACATTTTGGTAATTCTTCTGGTGTTTTAAATTTGTTATTATATTTGTTACGGTGATCTGCGATCAGTGATGATGACTGGCTGAGAGTTCAGATGGTGGTTAGCATTTTTTAGTAATAAAGCATTTTAAATTAAAGTATGCACTTTTTTTAAGACATAATGCCATCGCACATTTACTTTTATGTGCACTGGGAAACCAAAAAAATCCATTTGATTTGCTTTATCACAATATTTGCTTTACTGCAGTGGTCTGCTACTGAACCCCAATATCTCTGAGGTATGGCTATACTTCTCTTTCACTTTTGCAGGATAATTTCGCTGGATACAGAATTGTAGGTTGGTTTTTTTTTTTTTTTTCCCCCAACACTTTAAATATTTCACTTCCCTCTCTTCTTGCTTGCATGCTTTCCAAAGAAAAGTCCCATGTAATTCTTATTCTTGCCCCTCTATTAGTAAGGGTTTTCTTTCCCCTGGCTTTTTCAAGAGATTTGCTTGTCTTTGATTTTATACATTTTGAATATGATTATGCTTACATTTTTGGCATTTATCCTGCCTCATGTTTTACACCACTATAATTGAAAAATTCAAATAAATTTAAATAAATTAAAATAAAAAGCTCAGTTCCCCTGCTTCACTAGGCATATTTTAGGTACTCAATAGCCATGAATGGCTAGTAGCTACTGTTAAACTTAAAAATAAAACTGTCAGTTATTTTCCTAGCAAAAATGGGTTTATTTGAGGATAGCAGAGAACTGCAATCTGGGATAAGCAAGCCACAGCAAAACCACAGGCTAGTCCAGAAAACAAAGGAGAGGAACCCCATTTTATAGAGGAAAGGAGGAATTTAGGAGGGTGGTAGTAAACAAAAAGTCCTTTGGAGTTTTGAAGTAGAGTGGCTTTTCATTGGCTGGGTTGTTGCCAGGGCAAGAGAAAGAACTTTCTTCCTCCTGCTGGGTAGTAAAATAGTATCCACCCTGCAAGATGTTTCTTACTTTGGGTCTGCAATTAATGATAAGGGCATGAGAGCTCTCTCACTTTCATTCTAAATGAGGTTTCTCTTATTAATTTTTACACTACCAATTTGGAGAGCACATATCTACATGTTGGGAGGGAAAAGTCAAATCTGAGGCCTCTTGGCAGTGAATGGCCCACAAGGAAAGCATCTTCTAGGATTCCACCATCACCAGCACCTGAGACCCCTCGTGGTCCTATCCAACTCCCTGTCTCTCTGCTCATGCCGCACCTCCTTCCTAGAATGCCCCTCTTCTCTGCCTCAGGTTATCTGTATTTTACTCTTTTTTTTCCTGACTTAACTTAGGCCCCAACTCAAACACTTTTTTCAGAAGAAAAAATGAAATGTGTTTCACATCATTCCCTTTAAGGGACATGAATTGGGCCTATCCCATGCAGATTCCTTCACATCATCAGGGCCTTGTACTGAGTTTCACTCAGCTTTGCAGACTTGATATCACACTCAGTACTATAAGAAATGTTAATGGGCCCACACATGCTAGTGTTGCCAGCATTTCATTTCATTAAGTAAGAAAATTAAAAGTAAAGACAACTATCTATTGCTGGCAATTTCATGAATAAAAGAACATTCTAATAATGTCCTCTTCCCATGTCTGTCCACAAAAAGGGGGAAACTGAAGCTCTGCTTTATTTTTCTCATTTAGGCCTGGAAGATGAAAACTTATTCTCTCTAAATTTCAGCAAAATAAAGACATCTAGGAACCACTGCCCTGTAGTCTCTGTTGATCTCTTTCCCACAATTTTATTTTTATCACCTTTCTCCCTCTGTTGTGGAAGGTCATTGAAAAGATGTGAGACCACCAGTTGACCCATGAGCTGGACCCAGGTGATCAGAGGCTCCTCGCCTCCTCCCCTGTCCTTGCAATGTGGGTCCCACTTGCCTCTTGTACTCCCAGAGGTTGCTGCAAGGATATTGCCTTGAGATAATGATGTGATGGTGAGAACACCTGCACAGTACACTTGACTGGACCCAGTTAAGGCCTCTCTCTATACAAACTTTTTTTTTTTTAAGATTTTATTTATTTGAGAGAGAGAGACAGAGACAGCGAGAGAGAGAGAGCAGGAGCGGGAAGGAGAGGGAGAAGCAAGCTCCCCGCTGAGCAGGGAGCCCGATGCAGGGCTTGATCCCAGGACCCTGGGATCATGACCCGAGCTGAAAGCAGACACTCAACCAACTGAGCCACCCAGGAGCCCCTCTATACAAACTTTTAAGATTCAGGTGTTCAATAGCCTTGGCTAGTATGGCTGTGTGGGGATCCACTCATCTTGCTGCTGCCCAAGACAAGCCTCATATGTAAGTTCCCTTTGCTTATTAAGACTTCCACTAATGGGGGCACCTGGGTGGCTCAGTAGGTTAAGCATCGGACTCTTGGTTTCAGCTCAGGTCCTGATTTTATGGCTTGTGAAATGGAGCCCCACGTCACGCTCCACGCTCAGTGGGAATCTGCTTGGATATTCTCTCCCTCTACCCCTACCCCTCTCGCATGTATGCTCACACTCTTTCTCTGTCTGTAAAATAAATAAATCTTAAAAACAAACAACTGCCACCTACCAACCTGGAGTGACCTGCCTCTACCTTTGGTCTCTCCCTGCCCTCCACGCATACTCTCTTATGTCTCTTACTAGTTGTGTGATCTTGTGTAGGTTATTTAGCCTCTCTGGTCTTCATTTCCTATGTTGTGAAGTTGCTCTAAGGATACATATGCCTAGGACATTGACATAATAGCTCTAGGTTGGCATTCCCTGGCAGAGGTTGGTCTAAGGCTTGGGCTAAGGTTGGGACAAAGGGACAGAAGTGAATCGGTACAGGACTATAATAAAAGCAAAAAGCCTCCTGGCCTCCTCCTTTCCGTCTGAGCATGGCATCTGCTGTCTTTGTTTCATTCCACAGGGTTTTACTTTCCTCCAAAATGAGAGCCTCTGGGAAAGGACCAGGAATATTCAAATCTGCCATAATGGACAAAATGAATGAAGTCTGTCTTAATGGGTACTGATATGTAGCAAGGAACCTTCAAGTTTGAGGAGGCACTGGAGAAACCTAGAGGGGCCCTGAGAACCTCCTACATGCTACATAGCTATCCCTTAGGTCTTTTCCCATTGTGTGAGGCACAAGTGATGCTTCATAATATAACAGGTCACGGGGCTACCAAGACACCTCTTCAACTTAAGCAGGCATGTATCCAACATAGTGGACCCTGGGGTCAAGAATGTTAAAACCGACCTCCAAAGTTTACCTGTTTCTCCAAGTTTCATGATTTCACTTTTTAAAACACTGCAAAAAGATAATCAGCTTTATTGTTGACAAGGAAAAATAAAGACAATCTTAAATTACCTACGCACCTAAAGATTAAGGAATTTTACCTTGTTGGCGGTACTCATTTTTATGCTTTGCTCCAGACTGTTACTCCCTAAAAAAATCCTCTTTAAAATAGGGGTTGCAAATTGGAAGTCCATAGGCTGAATTCAACTACATAAATCTTTTGTTTGGCCTGTACAGTTAAAAAAAAAAAAAAAAAACAACTTTAAAAATAACATTAAAAAAATTGTACACTAAAAATCAAGATTTTCATCTTCTCTTTCAAAGTTATAAGATGTGGTGGCAATAGGCTTATAATGGCACAAGGCGGCTACTGGCTCTGAAAGTTGTTTGCTTTAAAAACATTAAGTGTTCAAGTCACCTACGCCCGCCATTCACAGAACAGCTGCATATGACATTGAAGAGGGGACGTGCTGGTTTGGAAGAAACCTGAGCTGGCTACCCAGATGGCTGTCAGGGACGGCCCGAGATAGTAACTTTTATACTGAAACCTGCAGGAAACGACTGAGTCACAACCTCCGTGCCTCAGTTTCCTCATCTGTAAAACGGCGCTGACAATGAGCAGTTGTAGAAATGCTTGGCAAGGAATTACGCAAAGGGCTGGCCCTAACCACGCCAAGGGCTGGCCCTAACTCGGGGCCCGGGGGCACGACTACCACCTCGCTAAGTTCTCTTGCAGGCCTCTGCACCAGCAGAGACCGAGACCCTGAGGAGGTGCCAGGGGCGCGGGGCGCGGCGCTGAGACGCACCCCCCAGGCTTCGTCCTCCTCCCCTCCCCGCCGCGGGCCCCCGCGCTCCGCCAAGGTTGGCCCCAGGGCGCCGAGAGGCGTGGTTGGCCCCGGCGGACCCTGGAGGCAGCCATGGCCTCGGTGGTGGAATACAAGGGGCTCAAGGCTGGCTACCACTGCGGCTACTGCGACTCCGAGGAGGGCAAGGTGTCCTGCGGTGAGTGTCCCCACAGACGGGGCTGGCGCGGCCGCCTGACGTCCGACCCCCGCACCGCCCGCCGCGCCGCCAGCCCCTCGCCTGGGAGCTCACAGGCCCGAGTCCCCAAACTCTCACTCCCCTCTCCCAGACGCTTCTCCCCAGACTATTTCCCTTCACGCTCCTCTCTCCTCCTCACCCTCACCGAAGATGGCCGTCCTGGTCAGAGAAGGAACGGAAATAGCGGAAGGCTGCCCTCGGTCAAGATGGCGCGGGCGGCGTCAGCGTGCGGGACTCCTGGCGAACCCGGCCTGCGGGCGCCCGAGCAGCTTCGCGCGCGCCTCGGGGACTCCCAGGCGGCGCGGAGCATTGTGGGGTGGCGGCGACGGCGGCGGGGCTGGGCTGGGTCGCGTTGCGTTTGGAGGGTAGGGGCCATGGCTTCCTGGGCCGCTCTTTCGCCCAGCATCGTGGAGTATTTCGAGGGCGAGGACTCCTACCGCTGCGGCTATTGCAAGAATGAGTCGGGCAGTCGCTCCAATGGTGAGCGGGCCGGCGGGCGGGGGAGGGCGTCGCGGCCTCGGGGGCTCCGCGGCCGGCGGG